CGCGTCCTTTATACGGAGCTGGCCAACGCGGTTGGATGGATGCACCACATCAACCTGGTGCATCGAGACATCAAGCTGGAAAACATCCTGCTCACGGTCAACCTTTTCGCGGCCGTGACCTCGGCCGGCGGCGCCGATGCCTCTGCGTTGCCGTTGCGCCCGCACCGTCTGCCCGGTTCCGAGCCGCTGGTCAAGCTGACCGACTTTGGTCTGTCGCGCTTCATCGATCCGTCGAATCCGCTGCTCGAGACGCGCTGTGGCTCCGAGGAGTATGCGGCGCCGGAGCTGATCATCGGCAAAAAGTACGATGGACGCAAGACGGACGCATGGGCGCTCGGTGTCGTGCTGTACGCTCTCATCACGGGCTCGCTGCCGTTCATGGAGGATGTCAGTGTCGGCGCCAACGGAGCACGCGAGGGGCAGGGCGAAGAGCGCGACCCCAAGCAGCGCAAGCGTCACCTGCTGCGCATCGCCAAGGGCGACCTGCGATGGCCTTCGCCCGCCAACGATGCGTGCGAGGACCAGCCGGACTCGGCCAAGTGTCCATCCTCCGTGCGTCTAGTGACGCCGATGGCCAAGGCGATGGTGGGGCGGCTGCTTCGGCGCGATGCGACCAAGCGCGCGACGCCGTGGGAGACGTGGGACGAGCCCTGGTTGCTGTGTGGCAGCTTCGGATACGCCTCGCTCTCGAGCCCGCAGGATGGGCAGGGCGCACTTCCGTCGCAACAGGTCCCAGGCGAAGCCTCTGCGGCGGGCGAGGCAATTGCACTGCATCCCGACCCGCGCTCTCAACAGGGCCAGAGCTGGCTCGAGGCCAACGCCGCCGTACGCCAGGACGACGTCGCACCGGTAGCCCGCGACGACTGATCTTTGCCCCTGCTACCACGCCCAGGTTGGTAGAGCCACGCCACCGTATACCCGCCAACATCGCCTTTGCTGCATCCTATGTGTACCTGCATGTACTCTAATCTAATCTATGCTGTCTTTCGAGGGTCTGTCACAGTGGTGCTTGCTGTGAATCAGGTGCCCTGCGCCCACCGCGGAGAGGAAAGCAAACAACAAATCGGTATATAATTGCAACATTTCCTGACTATAATATCTCCCAGTTAGTACAATGGTTAGTATAGGGC